TTCTAAAATTTATAGGGGAAGGCAAAGGAACTAGAATAACTTAAAGATTTCTGAAAAAGAAGAAGAAGAAGAATCAGCCTACCCACGTTAAGACTTTCCATAAAGCCACAGTACAGCACACTGTGTGGTACTGGCAGGAACTGACACACTGATGAGATGGAGAAGAGAACAGAACCAAGGTCATAGAGAGCCCCGCTCATGTACAATCAAGATGTATTAGAACATCTTGATACACACTGGCTAAAAAATGAACTTCAATCTAAATCTCTCACCTTACCAAAAAAATTTTTTTTAAATATTCAGACATAAAGCTATAATACACATACAAGAAAATCTTCAACAGAGAGTTTTGTGAAATTCTTACTATGATACCAAAAGCACAATTCACAAAAGTAACAAAAGCAATAAATCAGACCTCACCAAAATTAAAAACAGTGGATCCACCGAAATCTCTCTGAATCTCAACGGATGGAAAGACAAGATACAGACTGGCAACATGGTGAAACCCTGTCTCTACTAAAATACCCACACAAAAAAACTTATCCAGGCATGGTGGTGGGCACCTGTAGTCCCAGCTACTCAAGAGGCTGAGGCAGGAGAATGGACCCAAGAGGCGGAAGTTGCAGTGAGCAAGATACAGCCACTTCACTCCAACCTGGGCAACAGAGCGAGACTCTGTCTTAAAAAAAAAGAAAATATGTCCAACTATCTATCTGACAGAGGACCCATAGTTAGAATATGTAAAGAACTCTCCAAATTCAACAAGAAAAAAAAATAATCAAACACCACAACTAGAAATTAAAGATGGAAAAACATTTACTTAATAGAGTACACAAATGGCAAAAAGATGTCCAACCTCACTAGCAGTAGGAAAATGGAAATGAAAAACACAATCAACCATCACTCCACATCTACTAGAACAGCTACAATCAAAAGCAGTGACAACACCCAATGTTGGCACAGACGAAAATAAACTGGATCTCTCAAATACTGCTAGTGCAAATGTAAAATGGTATAGCCACTATGGGAAATAGTTTGGCAGTTTCTTAAAAAGCTAAATATACAGCCGGGCCCAATGGCTCACACCTGCATTCGCAACACTTTGGGAGGCCAAGATGGGAGGATCACGAGGTCAGGAGATCGAGACCATCCTGGTTAACACGGTGAAACCCCGTCTCTACCAAAAATACAAAAAATTAGCCGGGTGTGGTGGCGGGCGCCTGTAGTCTCAGGCACTCAGGAGGCTGAGGCAGGAGAATGGCGTGAACCCAGGAGGCAGAGCTTGCAGTGAGCCAAGACTGCGCCACTGCACTCCAGCCTGGGCGACAGAGCGAGGCTCTGTCTCCAAAAAAAAAAAAAGCTAAGTATACACCTACCATACAACCCAGCAGTGAAGTTTCTGGACATTTATTCCAGAGAAATGAAAACTTATGCCCACACACACACAAACGTACACAATTGTTCATGGCAGCCTTATTTCTAACATCCAAAAAATTGAAACAACCTATACAACAGCTTGGATGGCTCTCACAGCATTATGTTGAATGAAATAGGCCAACCTCAAAAAACAAATCACATAATACAGATATCACTACAATATGGAAAAAAATAGAAACATTTTTTAAGTATCACATATTGAGTAATTTCAGTTATGTAACATTCTTGATATTAAAACGAGATGGAGAATCGATGAGAGGTTTCCAAGGCCAGGGGTCAGAGGGACGGGAGTGGCTGTGGCACAGGAAGCTCCCTGTGGGGCTGGAATGGTTCTGCATCTTGGCTGTGGTGGTGATTACACAGATCAACACCTGATGAAATCACAGAGAACCACGCACACACACACACACACACACACACACACACACTGTGCCAAGGTAAGTGTCCTGGTTTTAACCACTGGGGTAAACTGGGTGAAAAATACAAGAAACTTGATATGGTTTGGCTGTGTCCCCACCCAAATCTCATCTTGACTTTAACTCCCACAATTCCCATGTGTTGTGGGAGGAACCCGGTGGGAGGTGATCGAGTTATGGGGAAGGGTCTTTCCTGGGCTGTTCTCGTAATAGTGAATGAGTCTCACGAGATCTGATGATTTTAAAAACGGGTTTTTCTACACAAGCTCTCTTTGCCTGCTGCCATCCACATAAGATGTGACTTGTTCCTCCTTGTCTTCCACCATGATTGTGAGGCCTCCCCAGCCATGTGGAACTTTGAGTCCAACAGAACCTCTTTCTTTTGTAAATTGCCCAGTCTCCAGTATGTCTTTATTAGCAGTGTGAAAATGAACTAATACAAGACCCGTCTATACCATTTTTGCAATTCCTGTAACTCTCTAATTATTTCCAAATTCAAAATTTAAAAAAAAAATTATTTTTAAAGTAAAATAATGACAATATATGCCATGCAAACATTAATCAAAGAAAGCTGATATAGTTTTATTGAAATTAGACAAGTCTTCACAAAGCATTTTTAAAGATAAAAGAGGGCTTATTTAAAGACAATAAAAGGTCAAGTGAATAGGTTAATAATCCTAAATGTGCATCATCTAATAACACACTCCAAAATTAACCAAAAGAAATAGACACATCCACAATGATGTTTAGAAACTCATGAAGTCTCTCAGTAACTGACAAACAAGCAAACCATGAACAGCAACAGATTTGAACTAGACAACCAACAACTATGACTTCACTGACATACAGAGCAGTGCACTTAACAACTGAAAAATACAAATTATTTTTAAATACACAAAGAAAATTTGCTACAAGTTGTCTAATGATGAACCATAAAGCGAGTCTCAACACATTACAAAGACTGTAATTTTTATTTTATTTTATTTTATTTTTTGAGACAAAGTCTCGCTCTGTTGCCAGGCTGGAGTGCAGTGGCATGATCTCCGCTCACTGCAACCTCCGCCTCCTGGGTTCAAGTGATTCTCCTGTGCCTCAGCCTCCCGAGTAGCTGGGATTACAGGTGCACGCCACCATGCCCAGCTAATTTTTGTACTTTTAGTAGAGACAGGGTTTCACTATGTTGGTCAGAATGGTCTCAATCTCTTGACCTCGTGATCTGCCTGCCTCAGTCTCCCAAAGTGCTGGGATTACAGGCGTGAGCCACCGCACCTGGCCCGTTTTTTTAAATTATAAGTAAATGGCCTCATGATATTCAGATACAAATCAATTACAAAAAGATAACTGCAACAAACAGGTCAGGCATGGTGACTCATGCCTGTAACCCTGGCACTTTGGGAGGCTGAGGTGGACCACTTGAGCTCAGGAGTTCAAGACCAGCCCGGGTAACATAGCAAGACCTGGTCTCTATTTAAAATGATAATAATTATAATAAGTTAACTAGAAAAAATCTCTAACTTTGGAAATTAAGCAACATAGTTCTAAATTAAACATGGATTTAGAGTAGAAATGACAATGGAAATTAGAAAATATTTGGGCCTGGGTACGGTGGCTCACACCTATAATCCCAACACTAAGGGAGACCGAGCCAGATCTAGAAGATGGGATTACAGGCACTCACCATCTCATCCAGCTAATTTTTGTATTTTCAGTAGAAATGGGGTTTTGCCATGTTGTCCAGGCTGGTCTCGAACTCCTGAGCTCAAAGTGATCCGCCCGCCTTAGCCTCCCTTAGTGCTGGGATTACAGGCATGAGCCACCACACCCGGCCTCCAGGTTTTAACCATTAAAACTTCTCATAAGACAATTAATTTGGCTCTCCTTTCTTTTCATATTAGCACTGTTTGGCTTTGATTAATGTACTAATAATCTGCATGATATCATTTAAGGAATATCTCCTTGAGTTTTTATATTAGTAAACACCCTGAGAAGGCCACAGCATCACTTAGACAGGATTCCACAGAGGGTGCTTAATCTGAGTTTAACTGCGAGGAAACACAAAACAGAATGTGAAACATTCTGTATAATAACTGATCTTCATTCTTCAAAATGTCAATGGAATGAAAGATAAACACTAAACTACTACTCCAGATTAAAAGACACTAAAAAAGCATGCCACCTAAATGTGACATGTGATCATACCCAGTACTAGAGAAAATAAGGCTACAAAGGACATTACTGGGATGATAGACAACATTGAAATATAAATTTAAAGTAGATACAAAGCATTGTATCAATATTAAATTTCCTGAATTTGATAACTGCACTAAGGTTACATAAGAAAATACCTATTTCTTAGAAAATACACACTGAAGAATTAAGAAGAGGAATGAAGTAATCAACCTAGTCTGAAATGACTCAGAAAAAGAAGAAGATGTGAAAAGAATAATAAATGTAGCAAAATACGGGAAAAACACAGGTGAATGTGAGTAAAAGATACACAGGAGGAATATAGGGCCATACCTAACTTTTGGGAAGAAAAAGAAATACCATTTATAAATGTTGATAGAGCAACCAGGATTAATTCTATCATGCATTAGCTATAAAGTCACAAATTTTCTCCAGCTTTTTTTTTTTTTTTTTGAGACAGTCTCACTCCATTGCCCAGGATGGAGTACTAGGGCTCGATCTCAGCTCACTGTAACCTCCACCTCCCAGGTTCAAGTGATTCTCCTGCCTCAGCCTCCCTAGTAGATGGGATTACAGGCACTCACCATCTCACCCGGCTAATTTTTGTATTTTTAGTAGAAATGGGGTTTCGCCATGTTGTCCAGGCTGGTCTCGAACTCCTGAGCTCAAAGTGATCCGCCCGACTTAGCCTCCCTTAGTGCTGGGATTACAGGCATGAGCCACCACACCCGGCCTCCAGGTTTTAATCATTAAAACTTCTCATAAGATAATTAATTTGGCTCTCCTTTCTTTTCATATTAGTACTGTTTGGCTTTGATTAATGTACTAATAATCTGCATGATATCATTTAAGAAATATCTCCTTAAGTTTTTATATTAATATAGCTAATAAGTATATTAGAAGCTAAGCTTATAAGTAAGCTTAGCGTATAAGGAAATTAGGTAGCAACGGATAACAAACCTGGTACAGAGGAACTTCCAGCCATCACAGACAAACCACTCCAGTCCTCTTTTCCTTTGCATTATCCTGGCCCGTGGTAAGGTATGGTAATCACTTTCCTCATTCTCAAAGCCTTCTTCAGACATCATTAGTGGCATTTCATCCAAATGTGCAGACTCATCCTCCAGCTGGTACCTAGTTAGAGTAAAAACAGATTGCTGAGACAGGCCAAGCAGGCTTCTTTACAGTGTGTTTCATATAGGGACAGTATTTCCTCAAATTAGGCTGTCTTCAGCTGAGGTAACGCATTATAAATAAGACTGCAGAGGCTGCTTTCTTTTGCAAAGGAATGTTGGCTAAGGTAAAAAAGCTGCCCAGCGAGGCCTGTGCTAGCTGTTAACTGTGCTGTGAGCGTACTCCTGGAGGCATCTGTGGTGCGGATGGCCAGGCTGACAGCACAACTGATGCTGCTCAACAGCTCCTCACTGCACTTGATCCAGTCAGAAAACACCACTCTTCTGAAACATGACTATAGCAAAGAATGTTCACTCCAAGCAACATCTAAACACTCTATGTTACACAACTTTACATCATCAGCCAACATTCTAGAAGTGACTTTCAACAATATGTAGCTATCTGTATCTGAAAAGTATCAACATCATCCTTTGGTTTGCTGACAGACTTGATAATCTTTGGGGAATGATGCTATGTCCCATTTATTCTGTTATTCTCTTCACTAAAACGTGCTATTCAATGAAAAACTCTCAACAACCAGCATACCTTTTAAAGCTCAACAATCTTCTTGATTCCAAGAAACAGGCGGCCTATCATCAAAACTGTTCCTTCTATCCCTCCTCAATCACAAACATAATTTATCTTTAAAAAATAAAAACTTACCTTTTTGAGAACAATTTGTCAGAAACGATAATGGTGATTCAACAAGTGCTATCTTACTGAATTCTGCATCAAGTATTTGTGGAGGCATTGTCACAATGTGAAAAATACGAGAGCAGACTTGTGGGTTCCTCTCTGGGATAAAGGCAGTCACTTATATTGAAATCTTTTTTCACATTCTCTAAATTCCACATAGAAGACAGCTAAAACTAACCAAAACCCACCACTAAAACATAAATAAGGGACAGAGATAGTACCATCCTTAATTGACACATAAGGAGAAAAGTAAGTATTCTAAACCAACAAAGCCAGGTCCAGAGTCCAGTCTGGATCACAGCCAGGCAGCTCAGGGGCAAAACAGGACTGGGGGCCCTAGCAATGGCAGACCATGGATAAAAATTATACCCAGACAGAATCTACCCTGAGAGCAACAGGTCTGTGATCACAGCACTGGTTACTGGGGGACCTACAGGAGGGTGCACAGAGCTTGGTTAGTAAGGCATCAATGTCGGGGGCAGAAGTCCACATGGGAAGAAGGATGCACCTCTTGGAAGGCTTGTTGGTGAGGGGAAGAAAAGGAGCAATAAGTGGAAATTAAGAGTTCTTCAGAAACGAAAAATAGGAATCAAACACATAAGCAGGCAATTCTAGTACATTCTGGTAAAGTGCAATTTAGAGATAGGTCACTATTGTGGAAGACTTTTCTTTTTTCAAGAGAATACAGTGAGTCTCAGGAACCCAGTCATGCAGTCCTCACTGCCTAGAAAACTCAAAGAGAAACAGCACGTTGTAAGTACCCAGAGGCCAAAAGGCACGGATGATGTGAAGGTAAGCGCATGCAGTGGCCGAGTATACATGTCATGTACGATGGAATCGTATTTCTGACCACGACCTGGCGTATTTCATTCCTAGTAATTCTTCCTCTTTTCAGACCTCCAACTGATGGGCCTGACGTGCACAGTTTCCAGACAAGGGCAGCTTAGCTCCAGGCACCTAAAATAGGCTCTGAAGTCCAGTGCAGAGTTCCTGCCAAAGTGAAGACTCTATTTGCACTGCACGCAATATGCAGAGTGCAGACTCCAGAAGAAACCCACCCTTTCTAGCCACAGCCCCAGCAAAGGGGGCTCTTGCAAAGCAGAATGTTTTTTCTGTTTTCCATTTTGTCTCTCCTAGCCCTCCCAGGGCTACCCTGTAGTCACCTCTATGAGAGCAAGGGAAACAGGAAGACGGGCTCCTGGAGTCCAAACAGGATGTGGACGTCCCTGGTAGTTCTCTCTTTTCTCACACAACTTCTCCCTGAGAACTACCCCAGTCAGGTAGACTTTCACAACAACACGAAGGGTTAAAACTCTGAGAGAAAACCCTGACTTTCAGAAAATATAAAGCTGAGAAAAAACAACCCTGGAAACTGCAGACGTGGGATAAACCAGAGAGCAGAGAAAGCTGGACAAGGGATGCCCTAATTCTGTATATGAATCAACAGAAGTCCCAGGCTCACCCCCAAGCTGCAAAAATGTGCCCAAACCCAAATAAGCACAGGACAGGCTCTGGGAACTACTCAGGTCCTACACAACAGGCCCTGACAAGCACTAGTGGGCAGCTGATGGCCTGGTCAAGGCTTTGCAACTGAACTGACATGGCAACCACCACCCACTGGTGGTGAAACAGAACTAGGGGTCGAAACCTACCCAGGTCAATGCACTGCTAAAACAAAACATTCTTCAAAGGATTATGAGACCCAGAGTCCCTCAACACAATATTCAAAATGTCCAGGATACAAGCCAAACTTACTCAACATACAAAGTAATAGGGAAATATGGCCAATAGTCAAGAAAAAGAACAACCAACAAACGCTACTTGCAGTATGAAAAACATATTGGAGTTTTAAAGCAGCCATTATATCCATGCTCCATGAGATAAAGCTGAACAGTCTTGAAGTGAATAGAAAAACAGAAGTTCTCTTTTTTTTTTTTTTAATACTCTACAAGTATCCTAGGGTAGACAGAAATTCTAAGCAGATGGGGGAGGCGGTGTGTGCACACGCACCCACGTATACACACTATTTATCTATATTTCTTTATATATGAAAAGGTCTAACATGTATGCACGTCATTAGAATACCAGAAAAACTGAGGCAGAAAAATATGTGAAGAAAAAATGGATAAACACTTCCCAAATCTGTTGAAAGAAATCTACTAAATAAAAAAGACAGCAAACTAAAAACAGCATGCAGTCAAAGATACCTACATAAAGATACATCATAATCAAACTACTAGAAGCAAAGATGAAGGAAAAAATCTTGAAAGCAGCGAGAGAAACACAACTCATTACATATAGAGGAACATCAATTCAAATGCCTGTAAATTTCTCATGGAGAAAAATGGAGGCCAAAGCACAGTGGAACTTGATGTTTGAAGTGCTAAAAGAAAAGAACTGTGAACCCAGAAATCTATATCCAGCAACAATGTCCTTCAGGAACGAAGGAAAAACAAAGATATTCTCAGATGAAAGAAAACTAAGAAAATTTGCTGTCAACAGATCTGCCCTGAAAGAATGCTAAAGAAAGACTCACGATGGAGAAAATGATACCAGAAGGAAACACGGAACTTCTAGAATGAAGGAAGAGCAACAGAAAGTTCTTGAAAATATGTATGACTATTAAAAATAAAACGTATTAAATTGTCAGGTTAAGTTTTTAACATAAACAGATGCAAATATATATAAGAACAGGGAAGAGTAGGTGACTCTATAGTTTATACGAGGTGGTAAAATACTAACCTTAAGTAGAAGTGAAAAGTTAGCCATATTATCATAAGCCCTAGAGTCGGATTTCCCAGCAGAGGCACATTAATATTTTGGGCCACAGAACTCTATTGGGGTGAAGCTGTCCTATGCACATATTTATTCCACAGTATCCCCAGCCTCTATGTACTAGATGCTAGTAGCAGCCCCACACTCACCCCTTGTTGTGGCAATCAAAGATGTTTCCAGACATTGCCAAACATCCCCTGGAGTACAAAAATCACTATCTAAAGGAAGTACTTTAAATATAATGGTATTTAATATTAAAAGATTAAAAGTAAAAAAAATGGAAAAATAAGGTTAATCACTGCATAATGACATACCAGTCAACAATGGATTGCATATAAAACAGTGGTCCCACTAAGGAAGCTAAAAATTCCTAACACCTAGTGACATCACAGCCATAATAACGTTCATAGTACAATGCATTACTCACATCTTTGTGGTGATGCTGGTGTAAACCAAATCTATTGGGTTACCAGTCATTCATATAAAAGTCTAGCATATACACCTAGTACAGTATCTAATACCTGACAATCATAACTAATGACTATACTATTGGTTTATGTATTTACTATACTATACTATTATTATTTTAGATCGTACCTTTTCTATTTATTTTCTTTAAAAGCTAACTGTAAAACAGCCTCAGGCAGGTCCTTCAGGAGGTATTCCAGCAGAAGACATTGTTATCACAGGAGATGACAGCTCCGTGTGTTATTGCCTTCCAGTGTGACAAAATGTGGAGGTGGACAAAATGTGGAGGTGGAAGATAGTGATTAGATGATCCTGACCCTATGTAGGCCTAGGCTAATATGTGTGTTTTTGTCTTAGTTTTTAACATTAAAAAAAAAAAGTTTAAGTAAAAATAAATTTTAAAAAAAGCATATAGAACAAGAATATTAAAAAAGAAAATATTTTTGTGTAACAATACAATCTCTTCATGTTTTAAACTAAGTGTTATTACAAAAAAGTCAATAAGTTTTTAAAAATTAAAAAAATATAAAGTAAAAAAGTTGAAGTAAGCTAAAGATTAATTTGCATGCTAAGTGTCCTGTACAGGTGTATGATTGTTTATGTTTTATACTGCATTTTACTATGTTCAGTATGCTTAGATACACAGATACACGATTGTGTCACATCTGCCTGCCGTATTCAGGACAGTAACATGCTGCACAGGTTTGTAGCCTAGGAGCAACAGGCTCTACCATTACAGGCTAGATGTGCAGTAGGCTCTATCATCTTGGTCTGTGTGAGTACACTCTAGAATGGCTGCACAACAATGAAATTGCCAAACATATTTCTGGAGTACAAAACTCAGTATCTAGGGGAAGTATTTTAAGTATTAATGGTATTTAACATTTCTCAGAACATCACATCCCCATCCTTCAACAACACATGACTGTATATAATGGAAACACTAGTCAAAAGAAAGCTAAGTAGCTATATTAATATAAGACAAACACATCAAAAAAAAGAACTGCCTAGCATAAAGAGGA